CATTGAATGTAGGGAGTAAGGGAGTGAATGTTGATGCCCTCTTTGACCACAGGGTCCTGACGCAACTCCTCGAGGGCGAGATCGAGCAATAGCGGTTGAACAAAGTCCCATTCTTTCAGGGGGTCGACCATGAAGGGTCCTTGGGCATACCTAAATTTCGGCTCCCTAGTAACGATTACCTGAACCATGAAATCATCGTATTGACTCACAAGTTCAGGTTCTGGGTCTTCGATTTCGAGACCAATGACTGTTTTGGTACGTTTAACCCTGGTGGGTGGTTTTGACGGGGGGCTTGAACGCAAATCATCCTCGAGCCTAGGCGGGGGTTTGGGGGTGCGGCTTGAAGCCCTGAGCTGAAGTGATTGTTTGGCTGCTCCTCTCAGCTTCCTAGGAGGCATATTGATGGAGTTATGACGCGTTTTGTTGGAGTGTCGATGTCAGACGCGCAGGGGTGATTTTAGGCCCTGCGACAGGCATTTTGCAACCAGCAGTACTGTATGCTTGTTACCGCATAGCATGTCGGCAGCAATGCCTTTGAAAGAGATAATACGAGAATGGAAATGGACAGATGATATGAGGACGGACAATTTAGGTGTCTTCAGTGTGATAGATCAAAAGCAAAGAAACGCGCCGGTAACCCATAGTGAAAAAGAAAACCCAGAAACCCGTAGTACACCGTAAGAAAACCCAAACCATAAAATCAGTGTTCATTCCCGAACCTCCCCCCTGCCCTCATTCTTTCATCGTAACCAACCGCTTATTTGGAGGAAGAAGAGTACTTGGTGACGGCCTTGGTACCCTCAGAGACGGCGTGCTTGGCCAACTCTCCAGGGAGGATAAGACGGACGGAGGTCTGGATCTCGCGGGATGAGATGGTAGACTTCTTGTTGTAGGCGGCAAGCTTGGAAGCCTCAGTGGCAACGCGCTCGAAGATGTCGTTGACGAAAGAGTTAAGGATGGACATGGCCTTGTTGGAGATACCGGTGTCGGGGTGGACCTGCTTGAGGACCTTGTAGATGTAGGAGGAGTAGGTCTCCTTGCGGACCTTCTTGCTCTTCTTCTTCTCGCCGGTGGCGGTCTTCTTGCCGGCTTCCTTCTTCTCGGTAGCGGGGGCCTTGCCAGCGGGGGCAGGAGCCTTTCCTCCAGTAGCGGGCTTCTTCTGAGCGGGAGCGACCATTGTGATAGTTGTAAGTGTGTGTGTGTAAAAGGCGATACGGATTAGACTTTACGGTGGCCTTGAGGGTGGGTGTGCTCGTATATTTATAGAATGAGCGGTGCTCGAGCGTTGTGCGCGTGAACCGCCCAGTCGCGTCCAGAGAGCGTGCGCAAGAGTGCCCGACGGTGGTGAAAAGTCTAAACGAGCAATCACTGGCAGTATCGTTTCAAGGCTTCTAGAGAGCAGTCGTCCTCTGAGCATGGCGGTGACGAGAGGATTACTGCCTTACACCGAATTACACTGAATTACACTGAATTACGGCGAGTAAGGACTGCCCGCGCGCTCGATCGCTTCACGTGAACGCGCTGAACTCCAACGTGCAATCGATTCAAGTCAACTGAATCGAACGAAGGTATAAAGATCTGTCCCTTCGCACTCCACCCCATCCAACAACTACAACTTATCTCTCTCACCCAACCCCACTCACTACCAACAACTTATCAATATGTCTGGAGGAAAATCTGGTGGAAAGTCCGCTTCTTCTAAGGGTACTCAGTCCCGTTCCGCCAAGGCCGGTCTTGCCTTCCCCGTCGGTCGTGTCCACCGTCTCCTCCGCCGCGGTAACTACGCCCAGCGTGTCGGTGCTGGTGCCCCCGTCTACCTCGCTGCCGTTCTCGAGTACTTGGCTGCCGAGATCCTCGAGTTGGCTGGTAACGCCGCCCGTGACAACAAGAAGACCCGTATCATCCCCCGTCACTTGCAGCTCGCCATCCGCAACGATGAGGGTAAGTCAATCACATTTCGCTTCAATCGATGAACATGATCGCTAACTATCTCTTCAGAGTTGAACAAGCTTCTCGGATCCGTTACCATCGCCCAGGGTGGTGTTCTTCCCTCTATCCACTCCAACCTTCTCCCCAAGAAGTCTACCGGTGCCGAGTCCAAGGGCAAGGCTTCCCAGGAGTTGTAAGGGGTTAAAGTCAATGATGATGGGAGCGGTGTTTAACTAAGGATGTTTCTCTTTTTTACTTTGGGTCAACGGTGTATTACGGGTCTTGCTTATTGGGTTTCCGGCGCGTTTTCTCTTTTCTTATCACAGCTGCAGCTGTAAACAAATACGATCGATCGATTCATATACTCACTGTTCAACGCTCGCTTACTTCTTTCCATTGCCTTTCAATAGCAATTGCACCGACTTCATCCCCTCCCACACGCGTCAGGCTCGCACAGTACGCGTTTCGTGAGGATGGACGCGTCTGAGTCCACCCAGCGCTGCACGTGAATGCAGCGCGTGCGTCATTGTAGAAGTACCGAGATACCTTTGCATTGTTTATCATAAACACCAATCAAACTCCAGTCGCCCATTCTCAACCCTAACTTGTAACCCATGTATGACAACTTAACCGTCCGAAAATTCATATGCGTCAACTCCCACGGTTCCGGGACCGCTGACCTCGGCACCTCCTCTCGCGCCCGTAGCTTCACCGTTGCCGTCCACAGCCTCGGCATCACGATCCTCCGCTGAGGGAGTACCTTCCTCAGTGCGGGCAACGGGCCTCACCAGTCGCTGCGGGCCTCTCTTTCGCACAGGCACCGCCTCAATCTTGCTCGAATTGGCCATGTTATCTGCGTCCGGACCCCCCGAATCGTCAGATCCGTTGTTTTGTATTGGCCGTGGTGACCGTTGTATTCTTGATGCTTCTGCTGGTTGCCGCGACGGCGTTGAAACCCACCATTCGCCGGGAGGTCTTCGGGCGCGGCGCCCTGATGGCGGAACTTCAAATAAGGTCCCCTTATGGAATGGTGTGAGTTTCTCTCGTAGCAAAACGTCTGAAGTCTGTGCTGACGGTCTTGTGATTGATCTAGACGACTGCTGTTTCACGACGCTTGCGTATGTTCTGCGCCGCGGAGGTGTCTGCTTCTCCGCATCCACATCCATTACCTGACCCACTGCTCCTTGGACAAGGCCAACTTCCGAAGACTCTGTCAAGGAAGCTCCAGTATCATTTGCAATTTGACCTTGTGGTTGTCCTTCGTGATTGGTCGCAATGCTTTTTGGTTTCTTACGGGCCGATTCAGAGTTTACCACTTCATCTGCAGCCTCCGAATGCAGAATATCAGCAAGAGCATCTGTCGAGATCTCAGTCTCATCGCCTTCCGCTTCAGCAGCTGGTCTCTTTAGTGACACTGCACGCCTTCGAGAGCCCGGGCCCCAAGATGATATCCGTCGTTGAGCGGAAGACAATGCTTCGCTTGTCCGAACTGCACTTGGTGTGTGTACACACTCAATGTTTTCAGATAAATCCTGTGTGATGGGTGCATTGGAATCTGAGGAGGCGATTGGTGTCGGTAAAGCACCATGCGAACTGAACCGGCAAGAAGCATTTACGGGTGTCGGTGTTGGAGTCTGCGAAGATCTATCGTTTGTGGTGATCTCTGGTTCAGTTGTTTCCTGCCTATCTTTGGAAGATTCAACCTCTGACTCCGCATCAAATGCTTCCACCACGTGAGGTACATCATTGGTTGCGGCTGGCTTGATAAGGCCTGGCGATACTGAAGTACTCCTAGGAAGCGCCGCAGGCTTTATCAAGCGTTTGATAGCATCCAGAGAAGGCGATGCCGGGCGCGGTTGTCGCGCGGACGTAGCCAACCTATGTAAAGTAGGCGTCGACGGATTGTATGCAACAGCTTGCGGCGCGTTCAGTCGAGTACCGATACTCTGTCAATACGTTAGTATGTATGGTTGATATAGAGATGGATGGACAAACCCTTGGCATAGGACTCGTAAGATATAAACGGTCCAACACGTCCTCTTTCGGCTGAACAGCACGAGGAGCAGGTGTAGCTGTCGATCTCTGCCTCTAATCCCGGAATCAGACGCATTCATAACAAGAAAATGCTTCGCGTACGTTTGTTATTGACTGAGGCACCTTGAAGACATTTTCATCCGGCCGTGGAGTCACAGCGATGGTGCGGAGCGGAGTTGTGGACCTCGGAGGAGGTGGGCCATGCGCAATGCCACCCCATGGTGTGAAGCTGGATCCAGAGGGAGGTCTTTGTAAACGGACGGCTGGAGACCTTAAAGAGAAGTCCTTGTCAAAGACTGCGCGGGGATCAAGATCTGGCATGTGTTGAACGCATCCAGGAAGCTCTACAGTGTTTGTACCATGGACCGTACGGTCCCGGTACCTCTTCGTACGTGAGCTACAGCAGGCCGTGTGCGAATCCAACAAACGGTAAACGATGTATGAACTATTTAGGCATGAGGTAGAGGAGTTCCAAGCAGTGTAATACAATAACATGACGGCGGCAGCTGTGCCCCTCCTCCGTAAAGGTCGGACGGTCGGATGCAGCTTCGACGTCGGGGTTCCACCAGTAAGGGCACCTAAAACTCCCGACCACCCTAAAAGCATTGGATCACCAACAATTCTGTCATTGAATACCCAGGCATCGCAACAACAGTGACCATATACACAATGCAACGTGCCGCAACACAAACACGAGCTGCTCTCCGTACCGGCGCTGCCAGGTGCTCTTCCTCCGTCTCCTCCAGGGCGTTCGGCAGCGCTTTCCGATCGACCGCTGCCCTCAAGGCCGTCAGACCCGCTCTCGTTTCCAGGTATGGCGCCAAACCGATCCCTAGATAATTCCTCGATGGATCACATACTTACGTACTCGGCTCATAGATCTACCCTTGTTTCTGGCAATGCCCGCCAGGTTTTGTCCTTGAACGTCGCCTACCTTCAGAGCTGTGGATACGCAACCAAGGTTGTGCAGGTGCCTACTATGGCCGAGTCCCTAACAGAGGGTACCCTGAAACAGTGGAACAAGCAGGTCGGAGACTTTGTGGAGCGTGATGAGGAGATTGCTACTATCGAGACCGACAAGATCGATGTGTCGGTGAACTCACCAGAATCCGGTACCATTGTGGAACTTTACGCTCAGGAAGAGGACACCGTTGAGGTTGGAAAGGACTTGTTCAAGTTGGAGCTCGGTGACGCACCTGCCGGTGGTGCTGCTAAGAAGGAGGAGGCCAAGGACGCACCTAAAGAGGCTGCTTCCCCGGCCAAGGACGAGAAGAAGGAAGAGAAGCCCGCACCTAAGCAAGAGGAGAAGCCTGCACCACCAAAAGAGGAGAAGTCTGCGCCCAAGAAGGAGGAGAGCAAGCCTGCGCCTAAGCAAGCGAAGCCCGCTGAGCAGCAAGCTGCTCCTGCCGCTGGTGCCCGCACCGAGAACCGTGTCAAGATGAACCGCATGCGTTTGAGGATTGCCGAGCGTCTTAAGGAGTCCCAGAACACCGCTGCGTCTTTGACTACCTTCAACGAGGTTGACATGTCTGCCCTTATGGCTCTCCGTGGCAGGTACAAGGATGACCTCCTTAAGAAGACTGGCATCAAGCTCGGTTTTATGTCTGCTTTCACCCGCGCCTCCGTTCTCGCCATGAAGGAGGTTCCCGCCATTAACGCCGCCATCGAGGGACCCGGTAAGGGCGACACTATCGTCTACCGCGACTACGTCGACGTTTCCGTTGCCGTTGCTACCCCTAAGGGTTTGGTCACCCCCGTTGTCCGCAACGCCGAGACCATGGACATGATGACCATTGAGAAGAGCATCGCCGAGTTGGGTGCCAAGGCTCGTGACAACAAGCTTACTTTGGAGGATATGGCCGGTGGAACGTTCACTATCTCTAACGGCGGTGTTTTCGGATCTTTGATGGGTAAGTTTCAACGGTTTCGACTGGGGACGCTAGATTGACGTCTTTCTTAGGTACCCCCATCATCAACTTGCCCCAGACTGCTGTCCTCGGTCTCCACGCTACTAAGGACCGTCCCGTTGCTGTGAACGGTCAGGTGGTTATCCGACCCATGATGTACATGGCTGTAAGTGCCCCGAATATCTTACAAATGGATCATCACTGACATGGTTGTTATAGCTTACCTATGACCACCGCCTCGTTGACGGACGTGAGGCCGTTACTTTCTTGAAGCGTGTTAAGGAATTTATTGAGGACCCCGCTTCTATGCTCTTGCACTAAGCGTGTGAGAGGATAGGGAGGGGTAGATGCACAGAGGGTGTGCAAAAGGAGCCATTTTTACATCCGAGTTGTGGCATGCATAATTCAATCTAATACGATACATCGAACGCACTTTGCGGGCTTCCATTGCACTGTTGCTGTTGTCTTGTAAACAATCTCCAAGTCCAGTTGGTCGTAACTACACGTACAAGTTCGCACACTGGCCGAGCGTGGGAAGATGGCCAGTCGCCGTGATCCAGCAGATGCCCGAGCCAAGATTGAGGGATGATGAGGGCTCGGTCGGTATCCTTTACTATTTCGTCTTCAGCTGCTGTTATCTGCTCTGCTCTGCTCTGCTCTGCTCTGCTCTGGCCGCACACACAGAAAGGAATCACGCGCGGCCACGGCGAAGGGCCACCGCGCGCAGCACCCTCCTTAAATCCCACCTTCCCTTCCCGCTTGCCCTCTCCTCACCAAAACATCCGGATCGCTTGAATCACCGTGATATAAGCTTCCTTGCCAGTTTCTTTCCAGTCGCCTCAACTCACTCTTCTACACCACTCCGCTCAGCACTCCGCGAACGCGCAAACAATCTATCTCTCTCCGGTTGATTCAACATCTATACAACATGGTTGCCAAGTCTCCTGCTTCGAAGAAGTCTACCAAGTCCTCCAAGGCCAAGTCTGCCGCTGCTACCGTCAAGAAGGCTTCCTACAAGAGCATGATCACTGATGCTCTCGCTGCTGTACGTAACCCTTTCTTCTCCTCGTCGCGTCGGCGCGGTCATGCTAACGCGAGTTTTTCACAGTTGAAAGAGCGCAACGGCTCCAGGTCAGTTGGAGGAAATCTATGGGACGATGAACGCCAACACTTGTTTATACTATACCACAAGTCTTCGCGCTCAACGTCCTTTCAACGTTTTTGTTGAGAGCCTGCGCTAACACCTCGTGCAGTCGTCAAGCGATCAAGCAGTACATCAAGGAGAACTTCGATGTCGACACTCCTGCCTTCGACAGACTGGTAAGCTTGCTATAACAATGAAACTTACCAGAGTGTATGCTAATGTGTCCGCCGCAGTTCAACAACGCTGTGAGGAACGGTGCCGACGAGGACTACTTCATCCAGCCCAAGGGTCCCAGCGGTCCTCTCAAGTTCAACAAGAACTTTGGCAAGGAGGAGAGCCCTAAGCCTATTGCTAAGAAGGCCGCTGATGCTGCTAAGACCGCCAAGTCTACTGCTAAGACTGCCGTCAAGGAGGTCAAGAAGGCCGTTGCGGAACCCAAGAAGACTGCGACCAAGGCCAAGACTGCCGCCAAAAAAGTCACCAAGAAGGTCGAGGACCCTTTGAAGAAGGCCAAGGGCGGCCGTGTTACCAAGAACAGTGCTTCCAAGAAGACGGCCGGTAAGGTTGCGCCCAAGAAGGCTGCTACTCGCAAGACCACCGCTGCGAGGAAGGCTTAAATGGATATGGTAATGTGTGTATGGGGTTTCTCTTTGTGACTGCTACTGGTTGATCTTGGGCTTTTGGTTTGTTTGGTTTGTTTATTTCGATTTACAGGAATGTTAGGATGCTGGCAGGTTGGTGTTCCTTTTGTGATCGTTTGTTTCTGTTTTACTTCTATCGTTATAATACTGCGATTCTAAACACAATGCTGTTGCTTGTGATGTTCCGGTGCTGATCTGATCGTCTGCGCGCTCGCCTCGCGCGTTCGGGCTGGACGACGCGTCTCTGCGCCGTGATGCACGTGAACGTCGCGTTTGATCATACTACGCACCCCCACGCCCTTCAGATACCTTATTTCGGTGTCGCAAAATCATCACGAATGATAAGATTGGAATTCGTTTCTTTATTCATAGAATCAATTTCAGGCGGTTCAAATGTTGCCGCCACCAGGAGGCTATGCTTTGTCGGTCGCGAGAACGGCGCTGGCACGTTTCAAGCCCTCGAGCTCGGCTTCTAGAACACTTCTAATATTCCTGCCTGTAATCTTGTTCAACTCGTCCCGTACACCCCCTATCGCGTCAGAAATCATCTGTCTTCCGAGGGCCTTCGTCCACGTACCATCCCTCATTATTCCCTCCATTTCTTGTTCGAGATCACCGACAACGCGCAATGCTTTGCGAAGGTACTCAGCATCGTGCCGCAAAATATCTGCAGCCTCATGCGCCTCAAATGCTGACACTTCGAAAGCTTCGGCTTCCCTTTCCCACGTCTCTGTGAGCACTCGCACGTCGACTCCTTGAACCTCGGGTTGCTTCTTCTGCAGCGAAGCAAGGCTTTCGGTGAACCTGTAACGCTGGCCTTCAGTCATACTATCGACCTGACGAATGTGTGCGTCTAGTTGTGATTTGCGGCGGCGCACGTCAGCCAAGCGGGCTTCGAGATCGGATATTTCCGACTGTCACAACGTTATTAACCGTAAGTCCAGCCAGAGTTTGGTATAGCAAGCGTACCTGAATTCCATCACGCTCCCAGACATACTGAAGTCTTTATCTCTCAATGTCTTTGGTACTCTCACTCATTGCTTGAAGGATCTTTCTTTCCTTCTCCGCATATTCGCTGACAGCACACAGTTGTGACCTTCGTAAGTCTGCCTCATGGGTATATTGGTGCCTTATGCTACCCTGAGCAGCGATAATATCCTGAAGTGTAATCAATATATCACGTCGGAAAGCAACTGTCGAGTTATGCGGTCCAGGTGAGAGAATTAAGCGTGCATGCTCTTTCGTGAGGTTATGGAGGCGCTCGCTCAGATGGTCCCTTAGGGGAGCAAGGGTCGACAACGCTAGCTGGGAGGTAGGTGGATCCTTTGCAACTGAATTTGGAGGTGTATGCGTCACCAGGATACTGCTTTCAGGCGCAAAGCGTAGAGTTGACAGATGGCTCATGATGGCTTCCTCCTCCACGACAGCTCGCCATTCTTCCACAAAACGATACTCTGGTGGTATGGTATCATTACTACTCGCTATCAACATGTCTACGGCTTTGTCTGATCTGAACAGAACACTCACTTCTCGTCCTGGTTCATGCTCTCGGTCGTTGTTAGATGTTGTGGCTGGAGAAATGCGGGAGATGCAGGCTGCACATGCCGAGGGCCCAAAGTCTGATAAGTATCGATACCGTGCACCGTACACCATACACCGTACAACGAAGAATAGTCCCCAACGCAAAAATGTCAGGCAGCGCAATCATCCTGGAGAAAGACTTCCTGATCAGTGCCACGGACAACGCAAACTTTGACCGTGTCACCAGAATCTCTGCTTCTACGGCCGACAAGGACATCGAGATCGAGCTTGACATCAACTCCGAGATTTACCCTCTTGAGGAGGGCAGGAAGGTCAGACTAGTCCTTGCAAAGGCCTTGGCTTTGGATGGTTCCAGAGACGTGAATGCTGAAGGTCGGGGGTGGAGGGAGACTTCTGAAGTAACGCTAGCCGAAGGTATGCATATCCCGTGGACCAATTTGGCAACTCTTATGCTCATGATGTTTTTCAGAATACGAATATGTCTGCTACGGAAAGGTCTATCGTCACGATGAGCATGGAGAGACTGACTTGATGTAAGTTGAGCGCGGTGCAACGTGGATGATTGATATCATGCTAACATTCTCTACAGCTCGGTGTATATCTCCTTCGGTGGGCTGCTATTGATGGTGAAGGGAAACTACAAGGACTTGCAGGGACTGAATCAAGACAACGTATATCTTTTGATCAAGAAGCATGAGCAGTAGGGCAAATGAACCAGGATCACATATCAGAGAACTCGGCAGAACGAAGGGCACATTGAAAGGTTGCAAGGCACATCAAATGAAGCATAGATCAAGGCTGAAGGAAGCAGCGAGGATCAGCCCTGGGGAGTCGGAGAGGTCTCACTTTCTGACGTCTCATTCACAGAAGTACACATGCACGGAAGCGACGGTACTCGTGCTGCGTACAGCGTAAGAGCGGGCTGCAATAATCTAAAAACATTCGAAAATATAGACCGTTCTCATTGAGATAGCTTTCGTCCAGTACTGCTGTGTGCCTGGTAGTCGACTGCGCTGACGTACGCGCACTCCTCGCTGGAGAAGGAGAGCAAGAGCGAGCTTACAACCCGTACGTCCTCAATTGAAATCATGTCTCTCGAGTCGACGTTCAGCGAGCTCAAGTCCGCTTTCTACGAATCTCATGACCACCAGCGCTGTCAGCCTTTGCTGTTAAAGCTCAAGGTGCAGTTGGCCGAGGAAGGCGTCTTGGTACCTTCACCAGAGGCACCACATGCCAAGCTTCTCATTGCACGAGAAGCACTTGAAATTGGAGCATATACCGCAATTCATCTCACCTCGCCTTCAACTTTCGCCAGATACTTTACCCAGCTTTCTCCCTTCTACTTTCCTTCACTGGGATTGCCAGCCAGCGAACATCAATACCCTCTCACCGGTCTGCATCTGCTGTACTTGCTCAGCGAGTCGAAGATCGCTGAGTTCCATATCTTCTTGGAGAGTTTGGCTGAAAGTGATTTGGAGCAGAAGTGGCTGAAGCACGCTGTTATGTTGGAGAGGTGGTTGATGGAGGGAAGCTACGACCGTGTATGGCGAGCCAGAAATGAGGCGCCGGCGGACGAGTACCTCTTTTTCATGGATATGTTGATGGAGACGATCAGGTTAGTCCGGCGTTCGTTTCGCCCTGGGATGATTGCTAACTTCAATTAGAAACGAGATTGCCGAGTGCGCTGAGAGAGCATACACTGTTCTGCCTCTGACCAACGCCAAGCAGATTTTCTTCTTGGAGGACGAGTCTTCAGTGGTTGACTTCGCCAACGAGCATGAGTGGGATGTGCGTGATTCGCGAATCTACTTCCCCGCAGCTGGAGCTACGGACGGCGATGCTATGATGATTGATGGTGATGCTCAGAAGGCAGGCGTGGCGTTGAAGAGTACGGGACTACCGACGGAGAAGATGATTGCGCAAACGTTGGAGTACGCGAGGGAGTTGGAGCAGATTGTCTAGAGGCAGTCACATATGAAAGGACGGAGATATTGCATGTTTGAAGGGAGCCGGTCAGAGCTTAATCATATACCCTGCTATACTCGCCACAAGCAAATCAACTTATCGTAGAACGAGCAAGTTGCAGCCACCTCTTCGCTTGCCCAATCGCAGCCATACGTGATGCTTTTGTGCTCTCCTTCAAATGTGCTCACCACCTCAAGTGAATCTTCATCCCGCTTTCCTACACACCACTCAACCACTCTAGCACCCTCGTACATGCAACAGACTAGTAATCTGTACGCATTGCCCGGATTTGGCACAAGCCTCCAGACTCCCCCCCCAAGATCCACCTTGGCAGTTTCCTGCCGAGGAGAGAACTTCGGTGCGCATACACTTTGGCGAAAGATCCTGAGTTGATTGTCGTAACTCCCAGTCAACATGAACTCGCCCGTACCGTTTGGCAAGATGGCTGTTACACCGGCCTCGTGCGTTCGTCGATCAACGAAGACAGGCATATCAGGCGTGCGAGTGTCCCAACATTTGATAGTGGCGTCGTCTGCCCCGGACCATATCATATCAGGTCGACCCTGATCATACGTACAGGTCCATGCTTCCAAGTCATGACCGTTCCACGTCTGCACGACTGACTCCGCGTTGAGGTCGTACATGGTCAAATCACCCGCCGAGGATGATGACAGAACCTGACCAGAACGTACCGGATCCATTGCAATCTGTAGCAGGAGAGTAGATGAATCCTCAACAGCATGCGAGTCAGCGCAGGCTTCGAGACGTAATAGGTCTGCGATGACGTTATATGTTGTCAGGTTGCCGGTCGAATGCGCTGCAATCAGTCGAGATGGGTTGTGAGGATCCCAGCGCAGATCGAGGATGGCGGGGCAATCTAGCTCCTGTACAGGCTGGCTGAAATAATGTTAGCCCTGTACAAAGTTTTGTTCCTAACATCATACATTCTCCATTGTTCATCACGATGTACGTGGTACACCATAACCTTGCCAATCCTGTCGCTCGAGGATGTCTTCTTCTCATTCTCTCTCAACAAGTACGTCCCGACCACCATCAACCGTCGATCATTTGGCCAGAAGAGAAGCACATCAGCGGGATATGGCGTCTCGATAGACGAGAGTAGAGAACCTGATCTCATTGCAGGCGGTTAAATAAAGTTTGATCTACGTTGCAGGCAGGCTGCAGGAAGTTGAGATGAAATCACCCAATTCGGGAGAAGTTGCACAAAAGCGGATTTTCAAGGCCTAAACAATATGAGTTCCCATTTATGACTAACGTACGAGTCGCAAGAAAGCTATAACAATGCCCGCGATACCGTTTTGCCAGTGGCATCCATGAATGCCGACGTCCGGGAATCTATCCCACGTTCGCGATCAAGTATGGTAGCAACAATCCAGCTACTCAATCCCTAGAAACCTTCTCACAAGGTCAAACACTCGGTAAACTCATCCAAGAATACAACCCTGAAACGCCCCGCCCACTCCGCCCTGAACTTCTTGTCCTCCCAAATTCGGCTCATGGGCCGTTTGAAACAAACCAACTCAACCTTCCATCCACGCTGCAAAGCTCGCTCGACACACCTAAAGAATCCACCGTTGCTGAACTCGGCCGTATTACCGTCTCCGGTGCCCACAACCATAGTAGCAGGTTCATAATCCACAATCGACTCCAGCATTTTCAAATGCAAGAGCTCGTCAACACCTTGCTCCCCCTTCTTGGGCTTTGGGTCCACATATGATTTACCACCGTTCTTTCCGTACGTCTTCACGACAATAGGGCCTCCGTCTGAATCTGAATGCGCAGAAGGCTGCGGCTTAACAACCCGCTCAAGAACTGACACTTCGTAACCCAGCGCCTCGGCCTCAGTCAAAGGCTGCAATAACGGCGCACTACCGACAAGAATCTTCCTTGCAGCCGGTCTTGATCTCTCAAGAATCTGGCTGAACGCTCCGAAATCCATCCTGGGTGGTCCATGGCCCCGCAAATACTGATAAGTTTTCTCATACTTGATCTTATTGATGAATCCCAGGACAATATTGGAATTGTCGATGAAGATGTGTATTGGCTTATCCTTTGGCGGAGTATATATGCGCTTAGGCTTGCCCGTGTATGGTGAAATAATCCGTGGGTGCGAAGTTTCTGGCGATGAGGCAAAGCCAGAATCATCTGAAGGTACTTGGGCTTGATGTAAAATTGAAGCAGATTCTTCAGGGAACATAAGCGCGAGCTTCTCATTCAGAAGACGATGACGCTGATACGCATTCATCGCAGTCCGGCTGCGGTGAACTGCTGTGCGGGTGCATTGCTTATCAGCATCGTAACGCCTGCTTGGTGCGGAAGGTGCGGACGCAAAGCGGACGGCCAACCTCTCCTTCTTGGGTGTCGGCACATCGACTGGGGCGCTCGTTGTATATGAGGACGTAATCTCTTCGCCCTTGACCTCACTCTCCGACGCCATCAACTCGTCGAATTCGTATTCACTTTCCTCATCGACATCCATATCACCTGCAATATCTCTCGAACCAACGGCCGGTCCATCTGCAGTAATGGAAACAGGCTTGCGGGACTTTTGCCGCAGCTTCTTTGCCCGCTTCTTCTCTGCCTTCGTACGCACTGAAGATGTACTCAGATCATCCCCAAAGTATTCAGGAACTTCAAAGGTAAACGATGGCAACTGAACGGGCGCACTCTCGCTCCGCACACGACTGTGCTCCAAATACCTCCATAGTCCTCCGAAGTCACCCAACTCAGGAATGTCGTCCTCCTCAACTCGGGACGTCGCTGAAGGCGACAGCGACAGCGCCGATGACGATGACAGCGACGACAAAGGTGCAAGAGCCGTCAACGTCTTCATGATAGGCGTGAAGTCACCCAAGAGGGCGGCTTCGTCGGATGTATGCTGCTGAAACGAAACGGAAAGAGACATCTTAAAACGATAACTGTGAACGCGAAGCTGACCGGCAGACGCTGAATTGAAGAAAACGGCGATAAACAAGGAAATAGTACGGACGCTGATATGGAGGGGGCGGTCGCCTAAACGTGTGTTTATGGATACGGCGGCGAACGTGCTGCGCGCGGGCCCGGGGACGACGGCTTGTGTGGCGAACCGCGCTCAGCTCCCGATTCGCCCCCGATGGAGGAGGAAGGAGTAATGATACTTTGGTCATCATAAAACCTACCTGGTTACTCGTTATCCGAAACCCCGATACCTCGGCAACAAAAACGATGCATTCAACTTCGGCAACTCCATCGAGCCCGAACCCCTCACCATCCTCCACCACCGTTCCCATTAACGAGGCGGCCGCCCACCCTTCTTCGCCGGCGTCGTAGTCTTCGCCTTCTTCTTCTTATCCGCATTCTTCTCTTCCAACTTTCGTTTCGCGGAAGCCTTCTCCACATCCGTCTTCGGCAAGACCTTGAAGAAACCGTCCAATCGCCCCTGCTGCGCAGTCTTCAAGTTCTTCTGCAGCTTTGCCGCACCAGCTCGCACACGATCCTCATTGAATCCCTTCTCACGGACGAGGTAGTCGACCAATCCCTCGATATCGGGTGCCTCCCATTTCAGATCGACAGTTTCGGGGTCGAGCACCTCTGCTTCGAGGAATAGTCTTCGGGCGTCCTTGTAGGGCCAGTCTTCTGGGATTTGGTACTTCTTTCCTCCCTCAGCTTGCAGCTTCTCCACGATAGCGTCCAAACTCTTATGCTCCCGGATCAACTTCAATGCGGTTCCAGGCCCGACACCCTTGATAGGATCACAGTAATCGCATCCCAAAAGAATACACATGTCCACAAACTGCTCCATCGGCATCTCAAGGCCTTCCAAAGCCTTTGCAAGATTCATCTCAACGATAGGCATCTTGCGCTGCTCTGAAAAGGTAAGGTGACGAAGAAGTGACGGTGCACGGAAGCACATAGTGTCCATATCCTCCGAAGCCGCAGCAAACACCTTCCCTGCTTCAGCCAACGCAGCACACTGAGCCTCAGCCTCACAAGGCGCATCCACATACGGAATACCCATCAACTTCAGTAACTTCTTACATTCCTCGTTATGCTGCTTGGTAACCTTGACTGTTCTCCTCGAGAACTTGTCCAGATCCTCAGCCGTACCAGTCTCCTTGGCTTCTTCCAGACCCTTTGTTGCTTCCTCACGCTTTGCGAAACGCTTTGCGAGTTCACCGGATTTGAGGGTTGGTGGCTTTCCGTCGAAGACGTAGGCAGGTTTGATACCGTTGTCCACCATGCGGAGGGTTCGGTAGAACATACCCATGAGATGACTGTTCTCTTGTTAGCACATGTTCCAAAAAGACAGTCGAGAGGAAAACCTTGTGGTCTCTCCAGAATCGCTCATCAATTGCTGACCATCTTGTTGTCGCACAGCGATAAGAAACTGGTAGATACTCATAGACGCGTCCTGTTCGTCATGTGTTAGCACGGCGCAACACCGGGAGGCCAGACACGAACGATTGCGACTTTTCTGCCAAAGTAGGCCTTGATCTCTGATTGCTTGATTGCTTGAGGTGCATGGTCGGAGATGACCTGAGAAAGACCTGATCACGAAACGCGTTAACGCGACGAGAAGGAGAAGACTGCGACGGTAGATAAACCTGCGCAAGATGTTAGCAGTGGTCAACGAGAGGTCGTCGAGGAACAGAAACGCACCTTTAATACCCATCTTGCTTCTCTTCCGATATTTCTACGTTGGTGGTTGGTTAAGTGAAGAAATCTCGTGATGTCATGTACGCGAACGTCGAAATTGGAAATCTAAGTGCAGCAACGACAAAGACCTCCAAAATATCGACGGCAATTGCAAGATGAGTGTAGAGCAGAAGAGAACGCCCGTCAATGTATTCACCGGTACGTTCCTTTCCACTACATCATGGCCTGCCATCTAACATTGCACAGGTTTCCTCGGATCAGGCAAGACCACCGTAATCCTCTCCCTCCTAAAACACCTCCCAAAAGACTACAAAATCTGCATCGTCAAAAACGAATTCGGCGATGTCAAAGTCGACTCCGAACTCGCTCGAAACTCCAACGTAACCGGCGTTCAAGAAATGCTCAACGGCTGCATGTGCTGCGTCCTCGTCGGACAAATGAAGAACGCGATCCTCGAGCTCCGGGATCAATACAACCCTGACCGTATTGTTATCGAGACTTCGGGAAGTGCGTTTCCAGCGACGATTGCGTGGCAGATTAGGGAGTTGAAGGATCAGGGGATTTATTTGGATTCGATTGTTACGGTGATCGATTGTGTGAATTTTAGGGGGTATGAGGATACGAGTCCGACGGCTGCAATGCAGGCGAAGTATACGGATTTGATATTGATGAACAAGCACGAGACTGTGTCAGAGAGAGATTATGATACGGTGCTGGATCATGTGTATGATCTCAACCCCGACACGGCCAAGATCAAGACCTTCGAGGAAGGTCGAGTCGGTTGTTCCGTCCCTCCCGATCTCGTCTTCGGTCTCGACTCCAAGCTATTCCAGTTGACCGAGAAACATCTTCTTGCAACGCCCGAAGAGAGCAGACACCACCACGACAATGAAGTTGACATCATCCAAGTCTTCGCACCACGACAAGCCTCACCCACTCTCACCCACGACTCCCTCTCTACCTTCTTAACCTCCCTGCCCAAAGACGACTTCTACCGCGTCAAGGGCATGCTTCGACTCCCTTCTATCCCATCCGATGTCTGCGAGGCGTCACCAATCAACACCTATATCCTCAACTACGCTTTCGGCCGATGGGAGTTTACGCCGCTTGAGAATGAGCCATTGGAGGGTGGGGATCAGGATGTGAGGTTGACGGCGATGTTGGCAAGGGGGAGTGCGAGGATGGGATCTTGGGCTGATAAACTTGGTGCGGCGTTTGGTGGGGAGGCGAAGGGTGTGCATGTTCACAAGCATTACTAGACGAAAGACAAGAGGAATGATAACGGTATTAGATTTAGCAACTACCATATCGTACACCTCCACTCCCCAACGACAGGGCAAGGTCTACCAGTGAAGGTAGTGCGAAGGACACTCATACCCACCCGGGTTATTGTCCAAATACTGCTGATGATAATCCTCCGCATCATAAAACACTCCAGCCTCCCTAACCTCCGTCGCGATCTTCTTTCCCTTATAATGCTCCTCCTGAACCTTTGCCAAGACCCTCTCCGCCTTCTCCTTCTGCTCCGGCGAGTGGTAGTAAATAGCCGAGCGGTACTGGGTTCCGATATCGGGTCCTTGTCGGTTGAGTTGTGTGGGGTCATGCATACGGAAGAAGAACTCGATCAACTCCTCATAGCTCACGTCCTTTGGGTCATAGGTGATTTGAAGAGCTTCTGCGTGTCCAGTTGATCCGGAGCACACTTGGCGATACGATGGTGCGACGGAGTCTGATTTACCACCGGTGTACCCGACGCGGAAGTGCTTGAGCTTGTTCTTGAAGTGCTTATTGTACATATGCTCTGTTCCCCAGAAACAGCCGTTTGCCACCGTTGCTCGTTCGAGGCCGGGGGCGAGAGCGGCTGCTGCTGAGCCGTTTGCAACGACGCCAGCTGAGGCCGAGGACATGAACATGCGGGTGAAGTGTTTGATAACGGAGGTCATCGTCGATCAAGAAGTTGTTTGTGTTTGGTGGAGTGAATGCTGTTTTTTTCTGACTGTTCACGGTGCTTACGTCACGCCGCCATTGTGCCCAGCGTCCCAACTCACGCTCAAGAAGCTGACCACCAAAGAAGCAATTGCAACAACAGAAAGTCAAGTAGAATTCACAACATTCAATATGGAAATCAACAACTCCCTCTACGCTCTCCCCGCCTCCTACATCGTCGCGACCCTCCCGCACATCTTCTCCGCCTACACCCTCAACAAAGCTTCCGGCGGCAAGTTCACCAACGTCCACCCCCGTACCAACCTCGAGAACTTGAAGGACAAGGTCTCTCATGATGTCTACACCAAAGCCGTTCGTGCTGAGGCTGCTCACAAGAACAACTTAGAGGGGTGAGTATCTTGATCCGGGCTGATTGACGAGTGTATGCTGACTGAATGCAGCTTCCCGCTTTTCGCTACTGCTCTTCTTGCCGGTAACTTTGCCGGTGTCGAGGCTTCCCTTTTGAACAAGTTCGCTGCCTTCTACGTCGGTGGCCGTGTCTTGTATAACGCTCTCTACACCTACACTACCCGCGAGGCTACCTCCCAGGCTAGATCTGTTCTCTGGCTCGGTCTTACCTCGTCCTGTCTCTACGTGTTGGTGAAGGCCGCTCAGGGCGTCGCTGCTGTCAAGAGGTTGTACTAAATTGTTGCATGAACTGGGAGAAGGACAGAAGTGTATGTTAGCACAATACCCATAATACACCCATATGATCATATCAATCGCATTGTATTCTTTCACTAGCAATCTCTGGTATCCTTTGTTTCAGCTTACTCAAACATATCTGCACCGGCATCATCATCATCCTCATCCAAGCCTCCATTCTCAATCTCACTCGCAAGTTCCTTCTCCCTTTCCCTAACCTTCTCCGCCTCCTCTTTATCTTTCTTATCCGCATTCATCGGGTATCGCATCGCCTTGACGCTCCCATTCCTCAACTGCATACTGAACTTGATTCGGTCGTGGAAGGCTTGCATGGGCTCGAGGGTAGCATACACGTCCGTCGAGGAGAGAGACTGCATGTATCCCTTCTCGTGGTTGATCGTGGCCTCGATAACACCATCCCTGATAGCCTTCGCAACGATATACTCCGCAGATTCCTCCGAATCAAGATGAAGTCTCAGACAAATATCCCTCAAGGAGATACGACTGTACGACAACGACATCGACCGAATACCCGTCTTAATGACATTATTCCTCAACCGACCAATCAATGAGTAGTTTCCATCCTTCTTAAATCCCTCCGCGTACTTCTTCGTCGTCTCCTCAAACAAATTCAAATCACCAACACGCACCGCACGGACAATATCCAGATACGGAATCAACGCCTTCTCCAACATCGGTTCACGGAAAAGTGCGCGATGCGGAATATCTCCCATCAACAACTGAACAACAATACTCAATTTCTGTGCAGCCTGCAAAAAACCAGCAGCATTCGGGATCTGTGGGGCTTTACGCACGGCACCGACGAGATGTCCATGCGCACCCGTATAATCCAACTGAATCGCACGGATACGGCCAAGGTAGTACAAATACCTCGCCACCAAGTTATTGCTCGCATGCTCCGGGAACGTCGTCTTCGCCACCAATTTGTCCGCTTGCTCGTACGCACTTTCCGCCAGGTAACTTCTCAACAACAACGTCAACACGGTCGCTTGGATATCAGTGTCGTGTCTCAATGTTGCCGTTCTTTGTGCGGCAAGGAGGGCGGTTCGGGTTTCGGTGAGTTTCCCCTCCAACTCGAAGAAGCGGGCGTAGTAGAAATATACACGAGCAGCAATCTGGTCAAGAGAGCGGCGGTTGAGGCTGCGGAGCTGCTCCACCAGTACAGTCGAAAAGGCGACACCAGCGGCAATCTGCTGCGTATCCAAAAGATGAATCTGCGTCAAGAGCTGCACATAGACATCTGCTTCTGCCACAATCTCCTTTGACGCCGACGAGTCAACGTCCATGCTAACATCCTCAGAACCTTTTCCGATGGCTTGCAAGATTTGGGAGCCCTGACCGGAGGGGTACACTTCCTGTACCGCCTGCGCGAGGATATCGGCGTTCAGACGCTTTCGCAGGGAAGATAAGTTTCGTAGAGCACGCAAGGTCAGTCTTGGCTCAAGGCTCGAAACGGCCTTTTCCACCAATGCGAGGTTTTGCTTAATGTCTATTCACGCCAGTAAGGTTCGATACCCGTTTCCACTGCTGATGGAGGTGTGTGCATACCTGCTACGACCGAGGCAGCGACGTCGGGCTTCAGAGCGTCATTGACGTCTCCCATTTCGACGTCTTCAACCTTCTTGGGAGTTTCCGATGCCATTGAGGGAAGTTGGTTCTTGCTGTGTGAAGTCTCGGGGGTCGACTTCGTACGCGTACACCCAAAGACGTCAGCGCTCAGGCGGTGAATCGGGAAGATGAGATCAAGAGGGGTTCACGGGGCGTCAAAAGGAAACGTAATGGAATCGAAAAGCAAGATGTATCTCATGAGCCGAATAAAGTACTCTATTGGACTGCCTGCCGGCGCCGGCGGGTATTACATGAAGCTGCCTTTGAGGTAAACAAACCGTCGCGTTCGAACGAAACCTCAATAACGACTTCATAAGACATCATGGCTCTTGAATCACATCTCGCAAATATCACTCAGACTTCAGAAGCGATATCCTCACTGTCTTTTGCTCACCCAGCGACCTTCATCAACTCCCTCCTGGCTTCACCAGATATCGTATCCCTCATCCGCGATGCGCAACCCCATGAGCGAGGACTGTTTTCACTGAAGAAGGGTGACGAGGAGCCGAAAAGAGCAAGGAAGGAGGGCGCGGCACCGCCTACACCATTAAAGAAGGCGCCGAGTGTACAGCAGGAAGCGGACATTCTTCTAAGAGCAGCAGAGAAGTTGGTGAAGATCTAGTACGTG